ATCTCTTCTTCAATCGTCGATTCTGAAAATGGCCTTGGTAAGAAGTATCAAAAGTGAAGCTTCAGACAAGTTGTTCACCTTGCTGTTTGTTTGCTCCTGCTCTACCCGAGCCCACAGATGGCAGTTGATTTTTTGGTCCCGTCTCCTCAGGAAACTCGACATTTCTATAGCATTCGTCTATTTCAGCAATACTAATGTGCTCTATTAAGTAGGCATCGCAATCAGTTCTAGTTCTAACTCCTTCGACAGCTCTCTCAACACACTTGCGTACCTAAAAGATACTGATGAGGGACTTTTTGTCATCTGAAAGGAATGATCGCACAAACCCTACCTTTGGATCCATTGCGGATATCTCTGATCCAAGATAGACCTTAGAGAATGTATCGAATTCCTCCAACGAATTCTCTTCTATTTCACCTCGAATATCCCTGAAATCGAGAATGCTTCGATTTCGAGAGGGACCTTACGGAGAGTTTGAATAGTCATATTTTTTATTTATTTTAAAGCCCTGTTCTACTCTGTTCTGCCCTAATTAAAGTTTCATCTGCTGATAAATAAGTAAGCAAATAAATGAGTCAACAAATGGGCAATAAAATGAAAAAGTGGCAGGTAATTCATATTCCAGCAGTTTTTTTGTACTGCGATTATAGATTGGATTCCAAATTGTCTGCCATTTCCCCATGATCGACTTCAATTACAGTAGATGAATAGATAAGAAAATAAATAAATAAATAAATAAATATATATATCTCGAATTGCTTTAGGCCTCTGAAGAAGACGATAGCGTCGAAACGTTAAGCCATTGAATTAATAAATCGTTCCACCTAACAACCTCGCACGGCACAAGTGTATTTAAATAATAAATAAATAAAATAAGTTAATAAATAAGAAAGCGGTAGATGCCAAGGGAATGCCACTTGACGAAGGTGAAGTAATTCGAAGTACCACATTGTCACACCCCTGGCCAAGGGATCGAATTCCGGATCAGTTATCCCCAAGTCAACGAAGCTTTCCATCCCTTTGAGGTGGGTTAATTGCTATGAGACTGGTCCGAGAAGCTTAGTGGACTGACTTGTACATGGCCACTCAGCCAACACTTGTC